CTTCGTAATTTTTAATATAGATATTTTGAGTTTTTATGTATTTTTGCCTTCTCCCGAAGTGAGAACTGAATTAATTGAATGAGAAATACTCAATCGTCTGTGAAAAACTATTTCTTTTTTTTGTTTTATTTGCTTAATTTCTTTTATACATCATTCTAGCTTTATTATAGTATTTGAATAGAACATGTGGCAATGATTAGGTAATTCTATTCTTTAAATGATATAAATTTTGTGCATTCTGAGTTATAATATGAACGAAATATAATACTGTTAAGTGAATCTAGCGCCAGAGTGTCGCTATGGTAAACAAATACTAGAGTGAATTTTAAAGAATGCATTTATTCTATTGTGGTTTATGCGCTGTCGGCGAAATAGATTTAATTCAATCCAATAAGTTTAAATGAAATGCAAGAAAAAATGCGTATAATTTAGTATTCCGTACAAGGAAGTCATGTGATTAACACATCAAATTTTTTACATATATCGTGTAGTAAAAGTAAGTAATGAATCCTTCTCGCTCTTAAAAATTCTGATTTTGTTCAGCCTTTCCTTCGCTCCCCGCCAATTCTTGTGCAAAACAAAATCTTTTAAACCTTTTTAATAAATGTCTCATTTGACATTTTGCAGTAAGAATTTTAATAATAATAATCAATTTAATATACCTATATTCGTCAAAATACCGTTGATTATTGTAATTCAACTTTTAATCTTTTTCAAGCTTTAAGTAAATAATGTTATTCATGTCATTTGATGTGGCTTCCTCCTTCTAAGTTTATTTATTATTAGTTAATGCTTTCAAATTGCAGGCAATTTACTCTGCCATATTCGTGAAACTAATTTTATCATTACGATGACATACCACCACGAAATTTAGTTCACGTACTTTTTACTTAATGTTTGCTACTATATAGTTATAAAGTACATGAATTTATTTTTAAACATTCCTAAATTCCTATTCTTTCTTTCCTTAAGCTGTAAAATGTCTGGGAAAAAAAAAAAAAAAAAAAGGGGGGGGGGACATTTTTAATTCAGATTGGGCAAATTCTAATCTCAATCCTCAGTGGAGTCCATGGTTGCAACTTATTGAAGAAGCTCCTAACATGGCAAAATGTACGTTTTGTCCCAAAAAAAAAAAAAAAAAAAAAATACATGCTCAGTTACATGGGAAGGAAAGCAGTCACCAAGCCACATAAACAGTCTAAAGCATAAGAAAATCATATTTATGATGCTGAACTCAGAAAAAATTTTTTAAAAACTATTTCTCCATAGATAAAAACATTTCTGAAGCACAATAGCAGTCTTCGGCACTAGTTGCTGAATCATCAAATTTAAACTCCTTCGTAACTAAGGACAAAGTGTTAGCTGCGGAATTACTATGGGCTATGAAACTTATTTGTTTATGTGTTTCTGTTAATGCATTTAATGGTGCTTCTTTCTATTCCGAATTTTTAGAATAAAATCTCAACTTTCATCCATAATTTTAGAGCTATATTCATTTTTTCATGTACTCATACAAAATTCTTTCTTATTATTCTGAATGCTCAGTACCTTTTAATTCAGTAATTTGTACTAATTGAATGCATTCTACATCACATTCAAAGTGTTAGCTGCGGAATTACTATGGGCTATGAAACTTATTTGTTTATGTGTTTCTGTTAATGCATTTAATGGTGCTTCTTTCTATTCCGAATTTTTAGAATAAAATCTCAACTTTCATCCATCATTTTAGAGCTATATTCATTTTTTCATGTACTCATACAAAATTCTTTCTTATTATTCTGAATGCTCAGTACCTTTTAATTCAGTAATTTGTACTAATTGAATGCATTGTAAATCACTTTAAATGTCCCGACTATGCAAATTTTCACTTTATTACCTTTTCCTACACTAAGTACGGATATTTCTGCCTTCATGAACGACTTTCATGTGAAATTGACGAAATTTGACGTTACATGTAGAAAAAAAATTTATAAGATAAACATTTCCAGTATCGAATGAGAGATGAATGATCATCGATTTTACCCATTGGTTACAATTTCATCTCTTGAAAGTTTGTTTTATTGATATACATTTATTTCTAACGCATAGTGTTAACACATTTTTTTAACTTAGTCCAGTTTCAACTTAATTCGCTAGACAATTTCATATAGAGACTATTTTTTAATTTCTTAGACTAAAATGTTCTTTCACAAATGTCAGTTTGCATTAATTTGTTTTCTTATGAACGAAATCTTGTGAAGTACTTTACACAACATATATCATTACCAATATACCTATATTTACAGAAGGAACCAAAGAGTAAGAGATAGGACCTATATTTACAGAAGGAACCAAAGAGTAAAAGATAGGACCTATATTTACAGAAGGAACTAAAGAGTAAGAGATAGGACCTATATTTACAGAAGGAACCAAAGAGTAAGAGATAGGACCTATATTTACAGAAGGAACCAAAGAGTAAGAGATAGGACGATAGGACTGCGAGAACGAATTCCAGCTATCGCAGCGAGGCTTGAGGCTGAGTCTGTGTAGATGATATTGGGCACTGTGGGATTATTCTTCAGGTAGAGAAGAGCTGCTCTGATTGCTATGAGCTCCGAGGGGAGCCTGACTGCAATACCGAAGGGCCCGGGTTTGAATCCCGGAGAAGGCATGGATGGAGTGGTCAATACCGACATAAGCACGTGCCAGCCATTGGGGGGGGGAAAGATACTGGCAATGATAATTTAACATGGATTAATAGTATGTAACTTTTGCACATTAATAATCCATTAGAGAAGCATTTGCAGGAAAAAAATAGCAACGTAATTGAAAGATTACTTCAGGATGCTGCCAAAATTATAAACTTTGTTAAAAAGCGTGGCCTTAGTAACCCTTTATTTTCAAATCTCTGGAAAGATATAGACTCAAACTACAAAAATTTATTGTTACACGCAGAATTAAGATGGATGTCAAGAGGGTAACGTTTAACGTAAGAAGCCTATTCTAATTAAAAGACGAAATTATTAGATATTTCCCTGAACAAAAATCTGATCTTGCTGCTCTTATGACTGAAGGCTATCAAATGAGTGCTAGCAAAGCTGTGCTATTTGCCAGATATATTTGAGAAATTAAATGATCTATTCAAGGAAATAATAGCAATATAGTAAGCTGGAATGATAAAATTGAAAGTTTTATTTAAAAGTTCAACATTTGGAAGAAGATGATGGAAAACGATTCTTTGGAAATGTTTCCAACAATTTTATAATTGAATAATAATAACAATAATGATGATAATATTTGTTAAAATTTAAGTAGAAAATGTTTTATAGTTAGTCACTTAAAAAAGTTTTAGAGGCACAGCTCTACAAATGTTTTATACATCGGAATTATTTCAAAAAATTACCTTGAATTCAAAAATCATTTTTGATTAGCATGAATGGTATGTAATCATCTGCCATATATAGCCCAGGAGGAATTTGGTGAAATATCGAGCGACTCAGGTTTAACACCTGAGATTGTACAAAAATCCATGAGTGGTCGGAGCTAAGAGTGATTTTCGCACAGTTTCTTGAAATGGCATTACTTATATGAAATGATGTTTTTCAGCTTTAACGCTTGTTAAATCCAAATATTGTTCAACACTGAAAAGTACTGAATATGCTTTACATCCAGCATAGTCAAATATTTCATCGGAATTTAATTTGTTATGCAGTCGAGCACATCTGCCTCATTAAATGTTGAATTTCTTTCATTAAATTTTATATGCTTGAAACAAATCCTAAAACTACTACTTTTCATACGTATATTATTTACCAAAGAAATAAATTATTAATTGGAAAGTATTAATTTATATTATATTTAATATCGAGAGTCGAAAAAAATCTCAGTAGAAAAGGGAGTAATGAATGAAAATAATTTAAGAAACGTTGATCAAATATATTGCTTTTTCCGTTGCTTTCCTTTTGTCTTATTTCTCCTTTTTTTTTTTCCTTCCGTCTTTTAACGTATAAGAACTATTTAAATTCATTTTCATTTGTTTGAATTATTTTTCATCAGTGTGGTGCTGTGTAATCTGTGTTTTGATAATTTCGGGGAATTATATGTTATGTAGTGTCTATATTATTATGAAGTTTCGTTTATTAATTCGTATTGTTAATAAACGAACACATTGTGTCAGCCCACCAATTAATTTTAGTTGCTTTAGCAGCCCGCCCCCTCCCCAAAAAAAATAACAGCTTTAGAAAATTATTAAAAATTATATTCGGAGTTTTTAAATATTCTATTATTAAGAATCATTATATTTTAAAACATGATTTGGATATGAAAGAACGTATAATCTGAATATATTAGAATGGAATGAGAATTGTACGTAATGGTTTCCAGTAACTCACTACTCACTGGTAGAGCTACATTGAGTCATAACGTCTTTTGTTAAGAAACTTTCTAATAATATGTAGAGACGTTAGGTTAACTGGAAGCAGGAGAGATGAAAAACGAGCAACGCCCTCGCCGGGAATCGAACCACGGACCTCTGGAATACGCGCCCAGCGTGCAGACAATTACACTACGAAGGCGGGAGAAATACCTTATAAATATTTAAACTGTACTGAAAAGCCTTATTACGAAAGATTTTTTTTTTTTTTTTCTCTGAAAAACTTTCAGAATAACACCTATTCGTCCTAACAAAAATTATAAATAGAAATGCCAAGTAATTGTAAAGTGATGAACAAAGTTAACCTCATTGAGCAGTAATTTTTGAAGTTAATAAAATAGGACACATACATTCAAATTACTGCAGCAGATTCTAAAGAATAAGTCTGGGGTTGAAAAGTACATGAAAAGGAGTAAATATGTTGGCTCATGTCAGCTTTGTTCCCAGTTCAGCATACTCTTTGTGATAGGAAGAATCTTTCAAATGATAATTATTTAATAGTTTAATATCTTTACTTATAAAAATTATTTATTATATGTAAAACTATTTGATATAGTGTACTTTAAATTAAAATAAAATTTATTTTCAGGTCTGACAAATATATTGGCTTAACTGGGATTCCAAAGAAGATTTACAGCTCCTGCTTGCTTCATGGAGAACCTGTGTATTAGATGATGCCGGACCAGTGACTTTGTTGTTGAACTCTCCTGAGATCTCAAGTTATAAAAAGGAAATCTTCCTGCCATCCACTAAAGAGAAAATGTAAAGATAAGAAAGCATAGGTTCCGGAAATGACAAGTTATTGTGTTTTATAAATACTCCATGCTGCTTCTGTGTATGAAATTTTATAATTTAAGCTAGAAAAGTTTGGATACTGCGTTCACAAGGACATTGCATCAAACTTTTACTTTTGTTTCAGTTTTGGGTATAGGGGGGGAAAAATCAGAAATTTATTCATGATATTTTCATGAATCGATGTTTCGCTTGTAATATAAAAACCGATTATTTAAAGAAAACTGCCGATTTTATCTTGCGTAATATTTCATGTAAGAGCTATAATAACGTTTCTAGTGCTGATATGGCTGTTACTCGTGATGATTATGACGACGTTTTTCATAAAACGTCTGAGGAAGTACCTAAAAATTTACAGATCAGAAGTGAAAAGAGCAATTCTTTTGATCGAGAAACTGTTATCATGAGTTCTTCAAGTTCTCATACGTTTGATAATAGTCCAAATAAATCTCTTACTCGTAATGAATATGACAACCTTTTTTGTGAAGACGATTTTCATAGAAAATCTGAGGAAGTACCTGAAAGTTTACAAATCAAAAGAAAAAGGAGCAATTCTTTTGATCGAGAAACTGTTATCGTTAGTTCTACAAGTTCTCGTAAGTCTGATAATAGTCCAAATAAAACAAATTCAGGTAAATTAAACTCAGTTGAAGTTGAGCAGTCTTGCAGTAAAACCTGGCAAACATTGGACACTCCAAACCCTGCATTCAGCTCTAAGAAACAAAAGAAACTTTCCTCATCTGTGGAAAAGGCCATTCCTCTGTCTCCTTGTCATCATATTCTTATCTCTGGAAATTCTCGCCACAGTCTGGAGATTCAGCATAATTCAGCATCACAGACTTAATTCAGGTAGCAGTTACACTCAAAATTTAGAGATTCAATATAACCGTGAAAATAATAGTGCACCTCAAATTTTCATTACTGAGAAATGTGTTTCTTATTCTTTAGAATCTGACCAACCAGCAGTTACCGCAAATAAAGTATCATTTACATTGCCAGAAGATCCTCGTTTCAATAATCAAAACCTTAAACAGAAAACCGATGTTTGTCTAAAACGTGTAAAATGGGAGTCTGACCAGTCGTTAGAATCATTAGAAGAAGATCCTTCTCAAACCTTAAACAAGAAAGTGATGATGAAAAGTGATGAATCTTAAACAAGAAAGTGATTTAAACAGGAAAGTATGTCTAAAGCTTGTACAACCTGGTGTTTGACTGCCGTGATAATAGAACAAACAATAGTAATGTTTATTTACTGTATTCAAAAAGCAAGTTGGCCAGCTTTAGGAAAATGCCAGCTCACTACTAGATTCCCATTTTACACGTGGTGCTGCAGCCAAGCATTTTCCAGAGACCAATATTATTGCAAGTTACTTTCAACGTGAAATTAATTCTCCCTTCCCTGCACCAAAACTGAAAACTGAAAGTTCAAGGTATTACACCTACTAAATATGTGCAGGTTTTTTAGGTTAGGAAAAGTAAACAGATATATGAATCAAAATGAAATAATCAAATCGAAAGAAAAATTACTGATATTTTATATGAACAAAATAAAGATTTAATTGAACAAAAGTTGAAAAGGAAAGCTGTACTGAATTTAATCATTTGGAAGGGAAAATAACATCCGACAGAAAATTGCAATGCGACTCTTTCTTTGTCTCCAAAAGAAGGTGATGGAAAATTATTTCCAATTTTTAATTACTGGTTTACAGAAGGAGCTTTCCGAAGGTTATAAAATAATGCAATCTACTGATGAATCTTTTGATGGAAGAAGCAAGCTCTGTAATTCATTAAAATAATCTAAACGTATAAGGTAATGTATAATTGTTTTTAGAGTAGAAATTCATTGCTTGCTAGTTGATGTGTTGTTAGTAGTGAGTGTAGAGTATGATGTTCTTTCTGTAAATTTGTTGAGATTTTTTAAAATTTCTATGCTAGCTAATGTAATCAACATTTATTTTGAACAAAGTATTTGGTTCTCGAATCATAATCAGTTTAATTTTTTAATGTCAATATGTAATATTTTTTTGAGATTTTAATACGATGTGTGAATTTTCTGTTTTTATGGTCAAAATTCAAAGATTTATAGCATTAATTCCTCACTTCTCTTATAGTAATGTTTAGAAACTACATACAGTTTAGCATTTGAATATTATCTTAAAATCAACAATTTATTTTTTGCTTTCTTAGAATAATGTAACTGTTGTCAAAATAAATTTTCTTTGCACATATTGTTTACTTGAGTACTATCTGGTAATAAAGCATTTAATTTTTTTCCCTTTTTTTTTTTTTTTTTTTTTTTTTTTTTTTTTTTGGTTGCTGTTGTTGTTAAAGCCCAGTAATATTACAGTTGTCTCTCAAAACAGTAGCACCAGTTGTAGATAATTGTTGCAAAAAAAAAAGGTGATATGTAAGTGGTCAAATAACTCGCATTTTCTTCACACACACACCATGATATAATATGCAAGTATTTGTGTCTGAAATGTATGTAATGTGCCTAATTTACTTTTTAATGAGGAAAGACTAAAAATGTGTAAGAAAAAGTTCAATGTATTCCTAAAACAGTTTTATTATTTAGAAAATTAGTGGTAGTGAATAAACCTGCATTATATTTGTGAAAGTCATGAGCGTGTGTTTAAAATATTACATTCATAATTTGTGTAGCTGTTATCAAACATTAAAATTTCCTGTTATGTGCTTTAGCAAAATTAAAAAAAAATTATGAATCATCATAATTTGGGTTTAAAGGATGAAAATTGTATAATTATTTACTGTGTATTTTTTATGTTAGTCAATTTTAGGTTACATGTTATATGCAATTGCAGTGCTATTGGTTTGTTTCCTTACTTTTGTGCTTCATCTAAATTTTATGTTCTTGAATACAAGTAGAATAAAGATGAAAGTTTGTCTTTGATGAGAAATTTACTTTGACGTTCTTATGCTACATTTTGATTATATTTTTCTCTGAAATATATAACATTATTTGCATGTATCAGCATATAAAACAATTCTTTTGAGTTTTAACACTATAGCTCATTGGCGAATAATTAAGAAAATTTTTAAAAGTGCGTAAAAATAAAATTTGGTATTGGTATTAGAAATTTAAAATGCCTTAAATATAAATAGGTACGTATAGTATTTGGTAATTTTAAGTTCAATGAACTTCTAGAAGATTTTTATAAGCACAATGTGTATTTCATATATCCTGAATTTTTTCTGTTTTCAGTGTTCAATATATACTGTTAAATGTACGTATTATTTATATTATTAAAATTGGATTTAAGCTTTCTTTAACATAAAATGTTTTCTTTATATGTGTGCAATAACTTGAATAGAAAATTTAAATAGAATGTGTGTATTTGGTATGGATTTTTAAAGAAAGCTTTATTGCAAATCTTCCACTTATCTACGTTGGATAAAACTGTTTTGACTCGAAATCCAACTTCGTTTAATATCCATTTTATTAACGTAACTTAACTGCTGCTTACTTAGAATGGGAATTTCCCGATTCACAACATACCAGAACAGATATATCAACAATGTTGCTATTCAAGAACAACTTAATTCAACGATAATAAATAGGTGGCGCTTTCAATCACATTAATAATGCAACTTTCTCCCACCTTTCGATAAAAGATATTATATCAAAATTATATTATAAAATTACAAAATCTAAGTTTAAAGATCATATTCCTTGAATTTAGTAGGCGTTTTAATGTTCCGACCACTTCTGGTGATTTACTCCATAAGAAATTCGTGAACAATCTCCGACTCCTTTTTTGAAAGTTCCTCTTCTCGTTTGAATTACTTGAAGCTTGAATTTCTAAACTATAGATACGTTGGACAGGTCTGAGTAATTCTCCATAAGCAGTTTTCAAACGCACTAATCTACTATTACCGTGTTTACCAGGGTAAATGTGGATTACACGCCCCAGTGGCCAAAACATACGTTTTTGATTGATATTTTCAATTAAGACAATATCACCAACTTTTAGCGACTACTCTGGAAATTTTGAAGATTGTTTGAGCAGTAGTTGTACTCTGTTCTAAACCTCTGTCTCAAATTTTCTCCAAGACGTTGTTGGTATTGAATTCTTTTTGTGAAATTCACTTTGTCTATATGATCCAGATCAGGAACGCTCACTTCTTGAATAGGTTGCAGGAACATTGCTGGAGTTAAAGGCTGCAAGTCATCTGGATTTTCTGATATGTATGTAATAGGCCTTGCATTAATTATGGACTCGCAATCACAAATCAAAGTTGACTGTATAAGCGCTGTATACTGTATAAACTGTGACTGTATGACTGTATAAGCGCATTCCCAGAAACCCACCAAGCCGCGGTAGGAGGAATTATCTTTGTAGTCATTACTTTCCAGTCAATCGAGTTAAAAGATTATTTGTGCCGACGAAATTACTCCCATTATCGTTATAAATGATTAGAGGTCGCCCTCGATGGGCTGTAAATCTTCTTAGGTTGAGTAAAAACGTCTTAGTTGACAAAGACTGCACCAGTTCCAAATGAACAGCTCTAAAGCCTGCACAGGTGTACAGAACAATCCAGTTCTTGGCTCCTCTCTTCAGAACAAGTGGACCAGCAAAATCAAGACCACAAATTTCGAACGCTGATGCATTTCTGATTCGGTTTTCGGGCAATGCAACAGGAATTGTCTTAATTGCCTTAGCGGTGTTTCTGCACCTGATACATTTTTCAGTTACTTTTCTGACATTCTGTTTTTCTTGCATTTATGATTCAGAAACTTTCCTTTAAATCCATCAATAGAGTATTCAACCCACAATGTAGTAATTCTAAATGCCGTTCTTGGATGTATGTAGCTCAACCCATTTGTGCTTACTGGGTAATAAAATGAGTGTTTTAAAGTTCTCGCAATCTTTTCGTTCTGTCAATTTTATTTTAACACAAATTGTTTCTGAAAAATCTTTGGAATGAGAAATAGATTTCAATCCAGATAAGTATTCTTCAGTAAAAGATTCTTTTTGAACTAAATTAACAATCTTTCTTTTTTATATTCTATAAGTTCTTTGTGGATAACTTACCATTCATTCTGTTTCCCTTAGTTTTCCGAGAGTTATTTAAGAATCTTAAAATCCATGCAACCATTCTCATTATTTTTCCACAGTTGAAAAGTACGTAAGAAACCAACCGTTTTCAATCGTGGCATTTAACATTGTCAATGATTTCTTTTCCATTTCTGAAAATACTTCTTGTTTGATCAATGTATCAGATTTTGGCCATTGATCTTCCTCGTCCTTCAGCCAGGATGGTCCCTTTCACCAATGGGAGTCAATTTCTTTACAGTACAACCTCTTGAAGGTAAATCTGCAGGATTTTCTGAACCAGGTATGTGTTTCCAGTCTTGAATATTTGAAAATGTTATAATTTGTTTAACCCTATTTTGAACAAATGCTGTTCACGGTTCTGTTGTGAATCCACTGTAACGCAGTCGATGAATCTGTCCAGAAAAATTCTTTCACATTCGTAAGATTCAAAGCTTTTTTAACAGAGAGAGATAGTCTAACCCCAATGCTGCAAGCCATCAATACCAATCTTGGAACAGACATTTTCTAACGGAGCGATTCTGGATTTGGCAAGTACGAATTGAATTTTCACTTCTCTTTCACTCTTGCTTTTTACATACACAACTGATGCATAAGCTAAACCAGATGCATCACAAAATGTATGCAAACTTACTGAAGAGTCATCATCAATCAATATAAATCTTGGAATTTTCACAAATTTTAGTAAATGAAGTTCATCAAGCCACTTTGAAAACTGCTTTGCCAAATCTTTTGGTATTTCAGCATCCCAACTCAGTTTTGATTTCCAACTTTCCTGGAGCCATAATTTAGGTAAAAGAGTCACTGGACTAGAAAATCCAGTGGGGGATCGAAAACTTGCTGAGCTAGTGAGAGCAAAATTCTTCCAGTTATCGGTTGCTTTGGCTTAGTTACTGCACTGACATTACAAAATAAGCTATCTTCATAACGATCCCAAAATAGACCCAAGACAGGGGTTGATTCAACTAAAACTCCTGCCCTGTTACATTCGAATTTGGCTTCGGCCATCAACTCGATAGACACTTTAACAAATTTATGCATTTCTTCCTCCGAGTCGACTGAAGTGATGCAGTTACTAACATTAAAGTGATTCAGCAATATCTTCAGCTTCGTGTTTTACATTCTCAAGATGATATTTAATAACAGCACCAAGAATGAAAAGGGCTAATCTGTCTTCTTTACAAATGGATATTTGCAAGAATGCCTTTTTTATGTCAGCAATCAATCCTATTTTCTTTTCTCTGAACTTAATAATCACTTCAGGTATTTATTCAATGGTATTTGCTCCTTTTTCTAAACAATCGTTTAAAGAAGGGCTATCTTTTTGTTTACTCGAGGCATCGAAGACGGGTCTAAGTTTTGTTGTTGAATTTTCTTTAAACACTCCACGATGAAGAAAATAATCTGAGGGAACTGAAAGTTCTTCAGACGGTACCTTTTCTAAAATGTTATCTTCAAGCCATTGCATGAAAAAATAAGTATCATAGTTGCCATCCGAAATCCGTTTTGATGTAAGTTTATTTAATCTTTTTTCAGCAATAGTTATATTATCAGGAAGATCCTCAACCTCTTTCTATAGCAATTCAACTTCATATCTACCTTCATTATTTATAGTGACTGTCTTATTTTAAAATGATCTATGACAGCTTCGTCAGTTTCTTTACTGATATACAGTTCATAGGGATCTTTAATTCCAATGGTTTCCAACTCCCAAAGTTTCGTTAAATTGTCATTATGCCTTAATAGTGTAACAGCTGCTAAAGAATGTAGCAGTATTAGTTTCTGATTTTCCCATCAAAATCCCATCCCAGTTGAGTTTCCACTGCTGTTAGTCCAGAGTTTAATTTTTGGATCTTCCCAGTGTAAAGGTTTTCAGAAAAATCCGCCCCAATTTAAATTTCAATGGGCGTGTTACTTCTATTTACATCCATGAAAATAATACCCGCTTTTCTCGGTTCTTCAGTAAATAGTCCATCCGAAACGCTTGGTATGTTTCCACAAATAATTTCTTGATCTAGGACAAAACGTTGTATGTAAATTGCAAACAGTAATGCGAAAACATTCTCGATCTGTGAGGGTTCTTTCACCTACGAAGACAATGTGAGTTAATCTAGTAGAACTGTGAGGTGTTAAGTTCATTAGCAGTAGACTTTAGAATGTAAGATCTCTGTGAGCCAGAATCAATCAAGGCTCGCAGGGGGCGTTTCTTTTCACCTATAATCACTCCCACTATTAGAGTTTGAAGATGAACTTCGCTAGGAGAACGGCACGTATTAGATAAAACATTATTTTCTTCACCTTTAACTTTCGGAGCCATCTTTGGAATAATTTGTAACTCCTTCGGGGTAGGAGTCTTTGGCGTTTGTTTAAATTCCAGGCACAGTTTAATAAAATGTCTTTTATCGCATAACGTACAGCGAACATTACTTTTACAGTTTTTTTATATATAGCCAATTTCAAACAGGTATAATAGAACTTTTTGTTTTTCAACAAGTCTTAAAAAACAGTCCTTGCTTTGATGGGTTTTGTCACGAAACACACATTTAATTTTAGAACCTATCTTAGAACTTACAAATAAATTACTTGCTGTGGGAATGGCAATCTCAGACTCTTGGCACTTCTAAATTTTCTAAAACCAGATTAATTTTGTTTTATACCCGATTTCGCCAGATTTATACGCACATACCCGTCTATTTTTGCTCTTAAGTAATAATAGGATTTGAGCTAGTTTAGTACTGTAAGATTTATCATCTTCATTTAAAGATGGATTCCAACACACAATATTTCCTCTGGAATGCACGACTCTACCAGAGAAAATAGCAGCATACTTGTCCGAAGTTTATCATATGACTGCATTATGTTAGTTTTAGATTTCATATTAGTAGCATTTTTTACTACTAGTCCCAATAACTCTCTAACTTAAAACTCTATTAATAGTTCTTCACAACCGAATTTATTCTGCAAACTCTCTACT